GCTTGATCTGCTTCATGATCTTGTCGTTGTCGTTGAACATACAGGATTGCTTCTGGGCTAGTAGTCAACGGGTCTGGTAGTAAATCCATCCAAGACTCAATAAGTCTGTTTCCAGTCAGTTGAAATCTAGTCATCCATTTCTGAATATCCATAGTTCCCCCGTTGTACTTCATGAACTGCATGAAGCGGTATAAGAACACGTTTTGGGCACCTTTGATAAAATGAGGTCGTAGAAATCTTTTGAAGTAGTTAACTCCATCATTGGGATCCCTGAGCATTTCTCTGTCTAATAACCTCTTGTATTGCTGCGCCTCTCCTTCCAGTCGATTTTGCAACGCTGGTCCACGTTTCTCAGGTTCTAGCTCCGTGATGTCACACCAGTCATCAATGGCATCTTCAAATGCAAAGAAGCTGGTTCTTCCATCGTATGCAGGGGCTACCTTCGTGGTCATCTGTTGCGTCATATGGATTGAGGGCTGCTGAGGTGCTCTTCTCATTGCATATGAGTCATATTGATTCCATCCATCTGCATCGACAATGTCGAAGTCATCATCATCATCATCATCATCATCATAGCCATGGCGAGACATATCGGGCTCTACCTGGAGCTCACCTTCAATGAAGGATCACTGCTCCGCTACCACTTGATGAGGGGCACTAGCGTCTGGTATAGATCAGCTAGAGCGTCTTCCCAAGACAGCTTCACACCCTTTTACTCACAGCGTATTGCCAATCGGCGCGGTGTCCACAGGGTTACTCTATATATCTCTCTTGAGCCTTGAAGGGCGCATATAAATGTGCTCAATACTCATGCAGTATCCACGTAGGATTCAAGTCAAAACCAAAACAGGGGGTTGGTGGGGGGGTGCGGGGGTGTAATAACGTTCTTGTCGCGCGCTTCTTTGTTTCTTCTAACACGTTCTTGGAACTTCAGACACGCTCATGATGCTACGCTTCTAACAGGTTCTTGGAACTTCAGACATGCTCGTGATGCTACGCTTCAAACAGGTTTTTGGAAAACAAAGAATGGACGAAAAAGATTCGCAAAGGTAGAAGCCAGAACATGTCCAAAGTAGCCGGCACGGAAATTGCTGACCGTGGATGGCTGTCCTTGAAAAAATTCATTCCAAGTAGCTTTCCTAGACATCTTGGCTGCCACAACCAAGTGAAAGAACACCCTGAGCTGAAGAAATTAGTTCAGCAGTTCATGCGGCGAAAGCTCCTAGGATCGTGTCAGCCAAGTGTCTTCCTTGCAAGGTTGTGCAAAGCCGCCAAACAAGTCAGCTGAGACCATGGAAGGAAAAAAGCCAGTGTCGAGCAGATGATGTGCAAAAAAAAAGTAGTTTTGTGGAATTCCAAAACCTTGATTTTCACACCTAAGATATCAAAATCGATACGGCGCCACAAACCAGACACGTTTTTGAGATGTCAGAATGCAGATCGTACCACGGCCAAGGCAGGGTCGTGCACCAAGTAGTTATACCTACTTCTGCGGTACAACTTTCACATGGAATAAGTGTGAAATTGTGATGCTTATTTGCTAAACAAAGAGCGATTGCAGTAGCTCTCAGATGGCTTTCTTGATCTGCTTTCTTGATCTAGTTTGCACATGGGTTGCACATGGATTACGAAGATCGTCATGCTGAAAAACTCCACAGAGCGCAGGTCCATGCAGGTCTATGTCTGTGTGGACAATGGGAGCGAAAAAAATCGGTCGAGCGATAAAAGTTTCCGCAGTTTCACTTACTCTGCAGCAACGCCGTTTTCCTAAATTGACAAATGTTCCAGATTTGCGATCTTGCTATTCTTTCCTGCTTAAAGGGAAACCCAATGAAACCCATTCACCCTTGAACTGTCCTCATTTGGACTTGGACATTCGTGAAACATTCGTGACACCGAGCCAGAAACAAGAGATGACTCTAAGCTGCAGCTTCACAGGAGCGCACCCGCGATCACCTGCAGCAAGTCACTGATTCGCGGCGGAATCGATTTGATGGAACCGATATAGAATATAGAGTTTATATCCAGTGTATGTCGATTGTATTGCATAAATCATAAACATATAAACTGTGCATGACCATTTAGATATGCGGAATATGCACACAATCTAGACAGCACATAGAATATGCCATGGGTGAATGTCACGTGCTGAGTTGTGGACAATGGGATTGAAGCTTTCCACAAAATCAGAGGTACAGTCGAACACCTGTGGAAGTTCCTGCACACCGAGGCAGTTTTAGGCAGACCCACAGACTTTTTTGGAAACCGCATCAAAAAAAAGCAGCATGAGCAAGATCTACAAATCAAGCAGCAGTGGAGAACAAAACGACAGCAAAGATACCCAAGCAATCCCAAGCATATGCCACATATGTCTTATTTTGGCTTGACTGAAAGTGCAGAAAGAGCGAGTCCTGTTCCTGTTGCTCCTTCTGTTTGCTGCTCCCTTTCCCTTCGCTGAAGTCTCTCCAAATAATATTGCCGGCTCTGCCTCTTTCGTATTTGTTCTGCCGTGCAGAGATGACAGAAGCGGCATTCTTTGCCGTACCAACATCCCCCCCCTGGCTTGCTATTGTAGAGACAAGGTTCACATCTCCCCTTTCTGTGAAGCTCCTCCTTTACGAAGCTAGGAAGAGGCACCTTTTCTGCGTCAGGCCCCCGTCGAGACTGCTTAGGCACATTAGGCACACGTCCAGTTGGGAGACTTGAGCTTCCCGCGTGCGTCTCAGCCCTCTCCAAGTTCTCCACGAGCAATAGATTTGGGTGAACGCTCGAACTGGAGCTTGGTAGAGCTAGACCAGGCTCCGGGAACGCAAAGCTGCGACAGGCATGTTGAAGGCTCTGCGTTCGTTGGGGCTCTGAACCAGTGCCTTCCGCCTTACTGGCAGCCATTGCGCACAAGTCCCACCATCCCGTGCCCCCAAAAACGGGTCTATATGGATGGAAGCCCAGCGGCTGCGGATAAAGTGACACATAAATTTTGCGACGTGGCGTCCTCTTGTCAAATTGGTGAGATTGAACCAATGTGTAGAAAGCAGTCAATATGAGGATTGGCAAAGCTGATAGGAGTATTAGGAGTATTATAGGTTGTAGTTTGCAGATTTTCGGAGTGATGTGGTGATAATTTATATGGTGGTCTTAATTGTCTTCGTTGTCTCTGGTGAAATTGCCTGGCTCTTGGCCGCAGGCAATCTGCACGGGCCATCCTAGTCGATGCACCTCAAGCGACACGTCGACAATGCGTCGACATTGCATCGACCTTTTCGCCGGGATCCGCACTGAAACAAGGCCACCAGGCTTCAAAGGGAGGCCCTGACGAAATTGCCGGTCATTCCTCATCATCCTCATCATCCTCATCCAACTCAAACTGGAATTCTTGCTAAAGTTTAGCTTTCGCGCTTTGTGCTGGAACAAGGATGTGTCAATCCAAACTCTTTGACATCGTTTTAGCACAGTGGTTTCATCATTCTTCTTCATTTTCAGTCATCAGGATATGCATGACATCCTTGGAAATGTCCAAGATGTCCTCTGGTGCTCCAGCAATCCACAAACGTACTTGGTTTATATGTATAATTTTGCAATATATATATATATATTGTGTGTGTGTTTTTCTTTTCACTGCAGATATCCTATCTTCTCGGCATCCTTAATTTTTGTGTGCATGCAGGTTGGTCTCGTGTCTGTGCGTGCGCGTGTGTTTGTCTATTTGCTTGTCCTTCAAAATTTGCCTGCCTGCATGCTTGTCTGCCAATGTGCTTGTGCCTGGCTTTCTTGCCTGCAAGAAAGCCTGTGAGTGAGAGTTCACGCGCTCTTGTTGCTACATCTTGGGCCCGTCCCCTGCGTGCTTTAAGTGTATGATTAACACTGCGGACATCTATACAATTGCTGCTTTGCGTCTACACAATTCAAGATAATTCAAGATATTCAAGCTTCACTGGTTTCACTCTCCAGATTCTCTAGATTCTCCAGCCTCTGGACTCAGCGAGCGTGTGCCTTCAGGATACATAACTACCTCAACTGTGAGGATATCCTGAGGATCATCGTGAGCATGTTGGATGTGTCAACTTATCATTTTGATTCTCTGCATGAGTTGATATATACAGTAACGAGGTATGGCAACTCAAAATGTGCTGCTGAGGTACTCCTTTTCCGCTGTACATGTCATGGCTTTCCGCCCAGAACCTGGCCGGTGTGGCTCCACTTTGTCGCTAGCAACGAGAATACTTCAACTTCAAAGCTTTGGAGAATATTTCACCTTTGGGAGATCGTGACAAAGGCATAGCAAGCAGCTGGCAGCTGGCAGCTGGCAGCTGGCAGCAGCTGGCAAGCTGCCAAATAGACCATGACTTTGAGATTGCCCCGTTCCGTTGCTCAGCCGTTGCTCCAGCATGACATTTCGCTGTGGAGGTTGGTGGTCCGATCCATTTCGATGCCGGATGATGAATGCACAGGAGCATACCCGGCACGCCCTGTGTCCAGGTCTTCAAATGTCTTCAAAAACGTAATTCTTTTCTCCGTTAATATTTTAAGAATTCTAACTACCAGTAGTACCGCACAAGGCGGTGGCGGAAGTTTCAAAAATAGGAAACCTATAAGGAGAGGTTGGTTGTTGTGAATCAAGGATGGCAGAGCGAAGCCACTGATGGATTGAAAGGTGCTTGATCTCTCTCACTCTTTCTCTCTCTTTCTCTGCCTATCTACCTACCTACCTATCTATTTTCTATGTATCTATCCAGCTATCGATCTATCTATCTATCTATCTATCTCTCTCTCTCTCTTTCATCTGTCTATCTGTCTAGCTGTCTACCTGTCTATCTGTCTATCTATCTATCTATCTGTTTGTCTGTCTGTCTATCTGTCTACCTGTCTATCTATGGTGCAGTGTCATCCAGTCTAATGTAGTGAAGTGTACTGTAGTGTAGTGTAGTGGAGTGTAGTGGAATGTAGTGTAGTGCAGTGTAATGTAGTGTAGTGTAGTGTAATTTAGCGTAGTGTAAATTAGCGTAGTGGAGTGTAGTGGAGTGTAGTTGTAGTTGTAGTTGTAGTGTAGTTGAGTGTAGTGTAGTGTAATGTAGTGAAGTGTAGTGGAAGGTAGTGTGCAGTAGTGTAGTGTAATGTAGTGTAGTGGAGTGTAGTGTAGTGTCATGTACTGCAGTGTAGTGTAATTTAGTGCAGTGGAGTGTAGTGGAATGTAGTTGTGTAGGTGTAGTTGTAGTGTTGTGGAGTGTAGTGTAGTGTAATGTAGTGAAGTGTAGTGGGAGTAGTGTAGTATAGTGTAATGTAGTGTAGTGTAGTGGAGTGTAGTGTAGTGGAATGTAGTGTAGTGTAATTGAGTGTAATTGAGTGCAGTGTAGTGTAGTGTAGTGGAGTGTAGTTGTGTAGTTGCAGTTGTAGTTGTAGTTGTAGTGTAGTGGAGTGTAGTGTAGTGTAATGTAGTGAAGTGTAGTGGAAGGTAGTGTGATGTAGTGCAGTGGTGTCTATCTGTCTACCTGTCTATCTATCTCTCCCTTTCATCTGTCTATCTGTCTAGCTGTCTACCTGTCTATCTGTGTTGCAGTGTCATTCAGTGTAATGTAGTGTGGTGTAGTGTAATTTAATGTAATGGAGTGTACTGGAGTCTAATGTAGTGTAATGCAGTGTACTGGAGTGTAGTGTAGTGTAATGTCCTGTAGTGTAGTGTATTGAAGCGAAGCGACATCTGAACCTCCAAAAGTGGTCCGAACCCCTACTGTTTTGAACATGTTTACTTCGAAATGTCCTTCGCGCCACAACGGCGTGCACTTTTTCGACATCCGAACCTCCAAAAGTGGCGCGAACATGTGGTGTTTTGACATTTTGACTTGGAAATGTGCTTCGCGCCACAACGGCGTGCACTTTTTCGATATCTGAACCTCCAAAAGTGGTCCGAGCATGGTGTGCTTTGTACATTTTGACTTCCAAATGTGCTTCGCGCCACAACGGCGTGCACTTTTTCGATATCTGAACCTCCAAAAGTGGTCCGAGCATGGTGTGTTTTGTACATTTTGACTTCCAAATGTGCTTCGCGCCACAACGGCGTGCACTTTTTCGACATCTGAACCTCCAAAAGTGGTCCGAACCCCTAGTGTTTTTAACATTTTGACTTCGAAATGTGCTTCGCGCCACAACGGCGTTCACTTTTTCGAGATCTGAACTTCCAAAAGTGGTCCGACAATGGTGTGTTTTGTACATGTTGACTTCGAAATGTGCTTCGCGCCACAACGGCGTGCAACTTTTCATCTCTCATCTGGCCAGCTGGCTCCGCACCCGCCGCTTTAGCGAGCCTACTTTTCGACCCTCCGGAGCCCCAAATCATTGGAAAAACACAGTGTTTCGCGACTTTCCTACCTTTTCGCGCATCTCCATCTTCTTTCTTCTTACTCTTTCTCTTCTACTCTTCTTTCTTCTAATCTTTCTCTTCTCTCTGCCTCTTCCCTGCTCTGCTTTTCATCTCTCCATATTGTCGGAAGTTTGGCTTCTAAACTTCCTTCGAATATTTCAGTTCTAGTTTAAAGATGTTTAAAGAAGAATTGGGCTTTTGTACTTAGGCCGCCTAGGCCTACCTTTTTTTTCATGTCTACTGATGTCTGTAGGTACTCCCAGTCCCAGCAGTCCCAGCAGTCCCAGCATGGCCTGGCGGTCCATTCCACCGTTCCTCCGGCACGCTTCTTCCCTCGCTGGAAGAACCTCCGTTTTGCCACATATATCGCTACATTATGGTACATTGATATACCATGATATACCCATGCCCATAGGTACACACAGATATGATATGTGATTGTTCAAAAATATGCCCATATGTAAGGTCAATAAAATCAGCAACTACTCGGTTTCGACGACTGGTTGACTCTGGACAATGGGGACTAGGCTGGATCACACTTCTTTCAAAAACGCTCTTGAATCATGGAGCACGTACGGAAACCCGTCGCAAAACACTGAGCGCTTCACCGTGTACTTTAATACGAAGCTTTGAAAATCATCAAGTATGGTTTTCATGGCAGGTTGTCCATTGGCATGAGTGGTTGGAATGGTTCCCCAAAACAAAATCTAATGTATCTGGCAGAATATCTCTGGCTCCAGACCAAATCCATCCGCGCAGGAAGCCATATGCAGCCGTGAAAGGGATGCCCAGCGCCACCTAAAAATCTGTGCGATTTGCTCGACTCAAATATGTCACAACGGATCGCAAGCACTGAAGAGTTTTCGGAGTCGGAAAGTCACTTGAGCAAATCGGAGTCGGAAAAGCCTCCTTTGCCGATTCCGAGAGTTCACGCGCCCAAGCAGAGCACAAGCAGAGCCAGCCCAAGCGGAGCCACCGAGTGCCCCCACCAAGGTTCGGGAGATGAAGGAAGGACTTCCAAGCAATGTGCAATCGACCTGACGCTTTCTCATGTCACCAAGGACTCACAAATCTCATCACATTGCTACAGGAAAGTATAGGACAGTACAAGACGGTATAGGAAATTGATGGAAATTGGCAACCAAAGGGACCAAAGCTGGGAAGTGCTTGACTCAACTTGACAACGAGTTCGAGAGCGTCAGCTCAAAATATCTGCGAAAGCTCTTTAGACTCCAGTCAGCCATAACTGTTGACAACTTGGACAACTTGGACAACTTGGACAACTTGGATCTGCAAAAGCTGAACTGTATCAGAACTGCCCAGAACCGTTGGAAAGTTGTGGGACTCGGGTGCGCATTACCGCGTAGCACCTGGGGGGCCCGGCCACAAAGTCGCCCCAACTCCTGAACAAATTGGTGCAGGGCAGAATGGCATTGGGTGTAGATCTTTGGAAATTTATATGGCCCTCAGGTCTGTGTTGTGAAATGAGAAATAGATAGAAATGGAACATGGCATCAACCAAGCTTGAACCTTTCGTTTCAACTGCAACAATTCAAAGCACGCAATTCAAACCAAAGTTGAAGCGAAAGCGTCGATGGCGTTTCCAAAAGTCAGAGAAGAATGAAATGATGACTGTGGAAGTGTTAGTAGAGTTTAGTCATGCGTCTGAGTGAAACGTATTCTTTGCCTGTCCTGTGATTGGAGAGGAACATGACTGGAGCCGATGTGTCGTCCTATGTGCGACTGAAAAGTTCAAAATGTTAAGGAATAATATGACCACAACTGAAAAATTCACTGCACTTACACTTCCACCGAGAGATAAGAACTGGGTCCCATCGGAATCTTTTGAACATGTTTGAACTGGGTCTTCAACGTGTCAATGAGTGTCAAAGTCTCTTGTTTGCTCGTTTGTGAGAGCATAGGCATCATAGGCATCATAGGCATCATGGGCATCATGGGCTGAGGCGATGACCATCACAGGGTGCGACCTCGATGTCGTGGCGAAACCTTGAGACGCCGGCGATCGGCGATGGCGTTCGGGTCGAAGGCAAAAAGGCGACGCAAAAGGCGACGCAAAAGGCGACGCGGCGACACAGCGAGAGCCAAGGAACTTGTACCCACAAGGCCAAGGAGGTGTACCCCCGTCTTGTCCGGTGGCACCTCTCATCAAAATATACACAGGATGGCCTAAAAGTGAAGTTTTAAAGAAGATTTTAAAAAACTAAATTTTAAAAAAAACAAGATGTGGATAAATAAATTCAATGAGTTTGGGAGGTAAAAAAAGATTTGCACATCTGCACAATCTATGCCCTTTGTCCAGGTTGCATGCTTTCACTCTCGAAGCCGACATGATATGAATCCCTCCGCAGCTGACCTGGATGCCCAGCAGCAAGAGCAAAGTGGCCAGCCCATGTAGCAACTGCCAAGGCTGCCGGGTGTCATTGACATTGATGATGTGTGGTGGCATGTGCCCAGCGCAGCATTTCCTATGCTGAATGGTAAGTCTGGGCCTGCACATATAGCACCGTCACCAAAAAGAATGGCACCTTGGAACACGGAAGTCTCGACAACGTCTGGACAACCTGCAAGTTGCCTGCAAGACAAGAAAAAACACTGCAATGATTTGCTCCGCACTGATCTGTGTGTGGAACCTGTTTTTGGAACCTGTTTTTGGAACCTGTTTTTGGAACCTGTTTTTGGAACCTGTTTTTGGAACCTGTTTTTGGAACCTGTAAGGATCTTTTGTTCTGCACATCATGACATCATCCTTGGCTCCAAACGCAGATTGGCCTGCATTGTGGGGGTCCTTTCCTGTGCCACTCTGGGCAGCTCTGAGAACCAACTGAGCTCAACTGTGAAACAATGGAATCTTTAAACCCAACGGTGGCATCATGTGGCATCAATGGTCTGACCGAAATAAATCTGACCGAAATGTTCTGAAAGACGTTTGGACAGCGCACCCTATCCTTGTTGCGGTGCTAACAACCATTCTGCAACAGATATTTCATGATATTTCTGTGAAGTGACCCAATGCAACAACCATTCTGGCAGACCTTGTTGCATCTTCCACTGAAAAGGAACTGACCATCGTCTCCTCCTCTAACAATGGCAGAACGTCTGAATGTGCCTATGACTGCCGTGTTCCACAAGTACAGTGCGCCTGTATGTGCGAATGTATATACTGTAGTTAATATATATATATATGTATATTATACAAATTACACTCAATACTGAAATGTGTTATCAGTCAGGGGTCACGAGTGTTTGCAAAAGGACACAAGACTGACTTGTGAAGCTGTATGGAATCTCTTGGGGCTAGATTAAAAAATCGTTTGGGCCAGGGAAAAAGTGGAGTCAAATGAAACCGAATGCAGTGCCGGACGATAAGCAAATTGCAGACGATATCACAAAATAGTACCATGGCAGAACTAGCAAGGAGAGTATCAAAGAGACGCCAAAGGAATTCGAAACACTGACAGCAAGGAGAGCTGCACATCTGATAGTCCCCACAGTACGCAGCAACAAAATGTTCACAGGCTGTGATTCACAGGGAAAAGCTACACACATCCTGCATCACAGCTGAAGGCAACCGGGCAGTCCTCAGAAGTCATGAGTCTCCTGCGGCCCCAAATATCTTGAATATCTAAAATATCAATGAAATGTCAAAAAAAACATTGGATTTCATGAAGACTTAAGACATGTTTTCTGCCTTCTGTAGTATACTGTCTGTTTGCAAGAACTGGACGAGTGCAATGCGGTAATTGCTGCCCGTAGACCCCAGGCCCTAGGGCCCTAGGGCCCCAGGGTGGCCCGAAGAATCCAAAGCATTTCATGCAGGGTGAGCGCTAATGAATTCAGGAGCCTTCGCAAAATGAAACATTCAGAATCATTCAGACCTAGAAAAGGCTCCGATAACAGTTGCACCCCCAGTCGCAAACTGCAAAGCTGTCCTGATCGCAAAAGGATTTCCAATTGGCGCAGATGGATACTTTGATCCAGGCTACATTAACTAATCCGACAGCGTGAATAGTTGGCACCAGGATAATTACAATGTTTTACTGTTTGTGCTTGGCTTGTGTTCTTCCAAGAAGGATTGTATTTACAACAAGTATGGTATCTGATTCAGATTTCATGACATTTGAAGTTCTCGATATGTGCACTTCACTTCAATGAAGCTCAGAAGTTTCTGGCTCTGATTTGGGGCATTCCTTCTCAAACTTGTCTTTGTGAAAGAAGTGAACACCCTCCAAAAAACCGAGATGGTTCCAAAGGCATGGAAGCCAAATGCCCTCTCGATGCCACCTTCGAAACTCATTCCATGGCTGCATTCCTAGATATTCCTAGGCTTTATATGGTTTTATCGAGTTTCCATGTCGAGTCAGTTGTCCAGTCGAGCGAGTTGAGTGGAACCTATAGGGTCCAGCTGATCCCAGCTGATCCCAGCTCCCAACTCCAACTCTGAGAGCACCAGACCTCCACTGCACACCAGGAGGGTTCGACGCAGAAGCCTTTCTCTGAGCACCTCAAGGCGGCCCAAGTTCCTCCAAGTTCCTAGGTTCGTATGCTGACTTTCCACGTGCAGTGACGTGACGCAAAGGAATCCAAATGAAGCCACGTCAAGTTGCCCTATCGTTCCATTCAGCGGTTTCGGAAGTGCTCTATGGATCTCCAGGGATTTTGCGATTTTGCCACGTGGCAAATCAAATATCCCCCGTCCCAAAAGATTGACTTCACTGCAGGCAGGCACTTGCCATCAACTTGCGCGTGGCAGTCCTGTGTGGGAGCCGTAAACCCACAAGAAGCTTCAGCAGGAAATGCACACCCGCAGTGTTACACACAGTGAAGCATTGTGAAGTGCTACGAGGTAAACACTTTGCCAAAGACCTCATCGTTCTCGCAGGGCATGTCTTTGTCCTCGCAAACACCACGCCTGAAAGAGCGGTTCATCGTGTGAGGCATCCCTTTTACACACATCAAAACACCAGTCAGACGGGGTAGCTATAGCAGCTATAGTAAAAGGAAAGATGTTTGCCACAGCAAAACTATAGTAAAACAGTATCGGCATTTCGGCTCCGACAGTCTGTTTCTTAGGGATAGCTCTGACCAAAAACTCTGCTGAAAGCATTTGGGCTTCTGACTTCTGATGCGTCAATGACTGTCGTGTCGTTACCTGGTAGTCTGAAGGGGGCGCAAGGATAGCATGTGGCATTTGCGTCACATGAGTCAACTCATGAGTTAAATCAGGTCAGAAATGTCAACTCTATGTCCTACCCAGGTGGTCAACAGATGTCAAGAGGTGGCATACGCATACTCTTGCTACGGGCTCGAGGTTGTGCCATAATCGAGAATCGGCGTCCCTTTAGTAAGCCGTTATCTCTAGTCTGCAACATCTCTAACCATGCAGTAAGATCAGTAAGATCATAGCAGTCATAGCAATTATGACAAGCGTAAGCTGCAGTATCTTGATTCTCACTGATTCTCAATGATTCTCTGTTGTATCTCACAGGTTTTACACATCGTCTTACGGGTCAGGTACCAAGACAGTTTCTTTCAGTTTCATGTCTTATATATCTACAGTTTCTACATAGATGTGAATATTGTTCATGTCACATTTCTTTCACACGTGTCTCACAGAGTTCTCACAGAAAGAAACGTGATTTCTGACAGTTTTTGCGTTTTTGCACATTTGGTAAGAAATTCTTGCACTATATCTCATTATAATTTTGGTACTATTTCTCCATGAATAATTAATATAATTAATCAATAATATCAATAATATCAATAATATCAATAATATCAATGATATATCAATATTGAATATCAATGAATATCATATAAATCATCTATCAATATCCTGAATTCTTTTCTGGCTGGGGAGGCCACAAAGACGTTGCCATTCTCCAGGCCGGGCGTCGTGATCTCCTGTCACCGTTGACGTCACCGTTGACGTTTCCATGGTTTCTCTCTGTTTCCCCCTCCCAAGTTATCCAAGTTGGAACCCAGTCGAAACATGTGTAAAATCTGTAGAATCTCTGCGATTTCATGCTGTGGTTTGATCTTGTCTCAAATGGGTCAGCTTCTGATTGGTGACGTAAGATGGGTCGGTATGGCTGAACTTTCAGGATCACGTTTGGAAATCCAATGATTTGGGTTGTGAAAGTGAAAATCACCATGAAATGCCTTCAATGCCTTCAATGCCTTCGAGGGGAGAAACTTCATACATCCACTAGTCATCCTGCAAGTATCCTGCAAGTTATCCCTGCAAGTTCATGTTGATCTTCCCTGCAGTGCAGTGTGCCTCAGCAGTAAAGTAGCGCACTTTGGGTCTTCCACTGCTCACCGCCACGAAGTTTCCGTGCACATGCGTTGCAACCGCTCCTGGGTTGGACACTGCAGGATGCTGGAGACTGGAGACTGCTTTGAATGTTTCAAGGTCTCCGATGCCTCTACTCTTTTACATTCTCATACATTCTTATACATTATTTTACCACTTTCCATATCTTTCCTTGTCTTTTCTTATCTTTATTTTTCCTTATCTTTCTTTGAGTTGAAACTTAGAATCCACACCTCGTGATGGCTCGTAGTCCAAATAGCCCTGGTTGTAGATGAAGATGCCAAAGACAATGTAGGTCACCATCGCCGTCTGCCCGGGCATGGAAGTGCAAACTGTCACCGCCTTGTTTCCGCCTTCGTTAGACCGTCCACAACGGTCTGGACGGCAGTGCGTCTTTCTTGTCCGACTACGGCGAAGAACTAAGGAATAATATGGAATAATAATATATGCTTTGATATGTTTTGATATGCTTTGGTTTGCTTTAACTCTAAACTTCACACATTTGATGCGCGCCTGCATCGTGCACTGGATGATGCCAAGCCATTTGTTTTGGATTTCCACCTGTCTCAAGGCGGGATTCCCCCAGCAAGCCAAACGTGGTGGCAATACAATCCATGTAGAACCCATACAACCATATACAAATATATACAACCAATATCCAACCAATACTGAGAAGGGAATCAGTATGAATCAGTTCGCTCAATTCCAATGAGTTTTTCTGAGAAATGCGTGTGGAATCCGTACAGAAGATTTCCGCTGATTTGATTTGCAGTACCACAGCTCCCACAGCTCGACTCGTGCCTGCTGCTTAGTGCTGTAGGAGCAAAGCTTGTCAGGATCCTCTTCAGGGGCAAACTGTGCGAGACTCTTGGATCTTGGAAACTATGCGAAAATGTGACAAATGTGGATCACTTGGATAGCTTGGATAGCTTGGATGACTTGGATGACTTGGATATGACTTGAAACGATTGTAAAATCTGTGGGCTATTTTGCGAATTTGCGAGAAACTTCTGCCGTGTCAAAGGAAGCTGCGATGCAAGGCCGCAGCCATGAGTAAAATGCCGCATGCCGCAGCCTCACTAGCACCGAAGAGCTCCATCAGCACAAGGTGATGAGACTGTAAGAAACAAGTAATAACAAAAAGATTTGCAAAGAATAGCCGAGGTGACGCAATGTGACGCAAATGCAAATTAGTGCAATGGATTTTGTAACAGGTCAATGCAGCTCCCTCTAGGTAAAGCGGGGAAATTGCTAGCACCTTCTTTTGCCATCAAGGTGTGAAGCACGTGATTTTGATAAAGCAAAAAACAAAACACGCAATCACTCTCGGCATCATCGAATTGGACGCTTTGCATATAGCATGTTCGGAATAAACATGGCACAAATGAGGAAAAGGAGCTGCATATGGACCTAGAACGCACTTGCGCAAAGTAGGGAATGTTATTTACCGTCTATATACATGTATCTACATCTGTCTACAATGTCTACTTGAAACTACTCTGACTCTACGACCTTTCATAGTCTTTCATGAATTCTGCATTGATGTAGAGCCAGCTGCAGTTTGAGAAAAGGCACAAATCCGACTTTCAATTCTCCCCTTGGTCTGTGCTTGTCTATGTTGAACCATTGGAGGATTTGCAATAGCATTACCAGTCTATACCCTGCTATCCATGATATGTGCAGGATATATCAACGGTGTCAAAGTTGGCAGCATTTCAATTTCAGAATCTTCCAGTCCTTCCCATCGCTACCAGACTCAGTGAGAATTTCGTGACGCCAAAATAAAGTAAATAAAGGTACTGTATTGGAACTGTACTATATAAGGAAAATATATTGTGGGGTTGTTCCCTTTCAAAGCTCTTACCTAGGCCGCCTAGGCCGCCTAGGCCCTATATATGGTAGGTAGCTCCCATTTAGGTCCCTGAAATGGCCATTGAGAGATACTTTCGTCTCACCTCAAAGGAGACATGCTTTTCCCGGGGAAACTTGCGCGGCTGTGAAGCAACTTGAATTGTGAGACAGGAACTGCAGGAAATGCAGGAACTGCAGGAACTGCAGGAACTGCAGGAACTACATTGCCTCATTGAGTGCAACTCTGTGCCATGTACAACATGTATACAACATGTATACAACATGTCCACTCATTTCGACACGTATGCAGCACACACAAACGACACCATACTCGATATGACTCGATATGAACAACATGTGTTCCATGCTCTAGGACTCTAGGTCTATCATCATTATGTTCCATCATTACATTCCATCTTTGATCATGTGTCGTCATGTTTCGTCATGTTTAATCCATGCCCACAGTAATTGTTTCGTACAGAATAGCTCCGGCTCAAGTACTTTGTGCCATGGGCCCGCATCACTTGCATCACATCATCTCACCCCTCAGCATGCTCTGCCAGATATAAATGACTGCAGGAAAACTTGCCTTCAAGTCTGTCATAAGAGCAATTGATAGCAATTGGACCAAAAAAAAAAGACGAAAAAGAGCCTTGCACAACTACTTCAAGTATCTTCAAGTATCTTCAAGTGTTCACGTGGGGATGGTTTTGTGGGAGGACTCTACAGGACACAACCTCCACTGGGCTGCACACATCAGCATAGTTGCGATCTGGACCAAGCAAAACGAAACAAAGCGAAACAAAGCGACAAATCTCAAAATCCGATCCATTGGATGATCCAGTCGGATGCAATTGAATCAAAGGTCTCAACGGTCTCTCAGTCGGATGTCCCTGGGAAGACTGAGTCTAAGTGCCAAAGGCTGCTCTCCCTATTCCTCGTTGGTTCATAACTACTATCCAAGCGATGCTCAAGTGTCCGAAAACAGAAAAAGCATTTAAAAGAAGTAGAAACATATAGAAACAAATTTGTTCAAATAGTTTGTTTAAACATGTTTAAACAATCTATTTAGCAGCAGTTGTTTGGACGGTCTGTTTAGCTCTGCAATCCACGAGACGAAGGCCTTGGTGTGTCCCGCACGTTCCGCCAACTCATAGGCAGTCAAGCGGCGCTGACCACCCCCCTGGCTGTCACAGGACGCCACAGGTATAACTACGGTATAATATATACATATCATATCATATATTATATAATGTGTATATATATATGTGTATATATATATATGTATGTATATGTATACGTATGTGACATGTGTATATGTATTTGTATGTGTATATATATATATATGTTGTCCGCTCTCGCACATCAAATACAAGTCTCCAAAAGCCCTAAATGGTTGAAATTTTTGACGCACTCAAACCACCGGCAAACCTCAAACTGTTTATTATGAACAGGCTCCCTCGAAACCCCGGTCTGTGCTCAAAACAAACTCAAACTGGTTTCTTCATCCATTTTTGATGCATGATGCTTGCACGGGTGCAACACCAATGCCCCGAAATTGAAAGAACATAATCCGGAATTGTGCTATGCTGGGGTAAGCAACTTTGTGAAGTAATTACAGATTTGGTGATTCCGAAGCAGAGGTGAAGGAGACCTGTGCAAACTGAATCAAACAGTCCTGGCGCACAAACTCAACAAACTCAACGAACTCAACGAACCCAACGAGTTTCGGAGTATTTCGATGTGTGGCGGTGACGTACCTCGTCAAAGGAATGATTCACGTCTGCCTTGTTCTCCAGCAAAAGGCTCACAACATTGATATGTCCCTGGCGTGGCGAGTTGGCCAAAGCTTCTTTCATCTTCCTTGTTGGTCGTTGGTCATCGGTCCAACATGTTCAAACTAAACAACTATCTTGCGAAACAGTATGAAACTTCTTGGTGGTGCGTGCCTTTGCCTGGACAAGGAGCAGTATGATTGGCCACGCTAACCACAAAGTGTACATATTTTATCATGTTCCTCATGGACCATGTATTTTCGTCGATTTTCGATCATTTTCATCATGTTTTGACAGTCCAAAGTCTTTTTCCCAAAGTCTCCAGCGAAATCTTCGGACCGCTGCATTTTTTCCACACTCGACACATCTCGTCACTCCTTGTGCGGACCTCAGCTAAAATCAACTAAAAGTACACGCACTGCCATGACACTGCGTGCAGCTGGTGCCCAAATTTTGGTTCTACATTTCAATAATTTTCAATAAAGATAAATGTGGTTACCCCGAGCCTCTTCCAGCTTCATTGCAATTTCTCAAAACTGCTTGGAGGTTCAAAATGTCAGATATCGTCCCTTTTTCTAAGTTTTGTGTGTGTGTGTTATATGAAATCCTTCACATGACTATAGCGTTGGTCGAAGAATGGCCAGGATGAGAACACAGAAATCAGTGCGTGTAGGACTTCGAAAGCAACTAAGGCTCTGTCGTTCTCTCCCTCACAGCACATCTAAGCACTCATTTCGGAGCTGACCTTCTTCAAGACAAAGAGATTGCCACGATCGCCTGCCAGAAGTTGCACCAACGTGACAATATCCATGAAGCTCAGAACAAAAATCTGCAAAGTTCCTCAGATGGTATCAATTTGATATGTGAACTGAGTCGCAAACACCCACAGATCCACAAAATGTCCTACCGGATCCCGTATAATCTTCGATCACAATCTTCGACAGCCTGAGCGCTAAATCCTGGCCGTGCCTCTGCTGAGTCGAAGGTCGTTGTCCAAATATGTCACCTCTCAACGACGTTTGCACTGCAACATGGAACTCACGTGACTCGGTGAGAGCACTGCAAAGCGGAAAGATACTAAGAATATATAAAAAAAGAATTTTAAAAAAAACAGAAAAACCCAAAGCCATGCGAAGCCATGTGAAGCCATGCGAAGCCATGCGAAGCTGTGCAAATATCAAGAGTTTCCAAGGCCGTAAACCAGTCCCTCAACAGCATCCATGTCTCATATCGACTCATATCTGTTTCCTAGTGCGAGAACAGGACTAGATGATCCAAATTGAAGAGCCTTAAATATGGCTGCCAGTGGAATGAGTTACAATCCTAACCACGGCATTCCGGGATGCACAAACGAGCACAGTCAAATTCTCTCAGAATGCCTGCAAAATGCCGGTTGCACTAGCAGGCGCCGGAATTGGTAAAAGTCCAAACAACCTCAGAGTTTCAGGCGAGATTCCAAGAAATATTTGCAGACCTTCTCAGCTGTTTGTGCACAGGGCCAAGAATACTAAGATCAACTGAGATCAACAAAGACAACGACAACAAGGTGTGTCAGAAAGTCCTGAAAAGATCTGACAAATGTGTTGTGAAGTTTTTGGAAAAGTTGTAACGTCGCGAGACGGTCAAGTCTTAGCTCCTGGCGTGAAGACTTTGAAGCGCACTCCAACGGTAGTCTTCTCAAGCCCATCGACCTCGCAAAGAATTCAACTGGCCTGCAATTCTGCAACAACGTGACTTTATTTCTGATTTCGGAGCTGTCAGTTGTTAGATTGCTTATGATTGCTTGCTTTTCCATTTTATGCAGGCTCATTCAGGTTCCATGTATCTCACATATCCTGTTGAAACTTCCAGTTTTATCCTCTGATACTGAGCAGATGAACCTTCCATGTAGTCTGACATAGTCTAGTCGTTTAAGATGTTTAGCCGCTTAGCCGTTAAGCTGGCCTGAGGAAGGTAGCTGCCCCCAGGATTCTCTTCTGCCCCCTGCTTGAAGAGCAAAAAGTCGTCCAGGCGACTCACAAATGCCTGGCCGGATGCCCGAGGTCCCGAAGAGATGGGAGATTGATGCGGCACATCATGATCTACACCTATGTTACCAAGCACCGCATCACCAAGCTATTTAGGCAGCGGCTAAGATGGCTAAGCCTAGCGAGAAAAGTTGTGAGAATGGTGACTGTGGTGATGCCGGTGACATTGGACTGATCTGACAATGGCAAGTGATTGTAGATGATAGAGATTGATGAGGATGAGAATGCGCATCACAGTGATGCTGCAGTGATGCTTGTACAGATTGTACAGAGACATTACTCTGCTCATGGTCTGCACAGAACAAGTAGACAGGGCACTCCAGCACTGGCAGAAAATGCGATTTGGCGATCCATAACATAATATCTAAAACAAGCCCAAGAGAGGAGCTTTTATCATGTACAAAGTTACTATTGTTGCGTGCGTCTGGAAGTTTCATGAAGTTTCTAAGTTCCTTTCCAAATTGTGTAAGATTGTGTAAGCGCTTTTAAAAAACGCGAAAAAACATCCTCTAAGATCAGCTTCGGAACCTCTCGCTGATCTGGGCCGAGTGGAGCGATGCTCGCATCGACCGTGTTTCGCCTGTTGAGCGCTCGTTATCAGGGCAAAATACTCAAAATACTCAAATCTGTTCAAGCAATTTCAAGCAATTTCAAGCATCTGTGATGTCATAATGTCGCATGCAAGGCTTGATGTGGCCATTCACTCTCATGGCATGCTAGAAGACCCCTGAAGGACTCAAACACTGAAAGCCCAACTTGCATAGTTTGGGTCTAAACTGCGTTCATCTGATCACAAACAAGAAATCTACGGTGGTGTCGATGGGGTGAAAGCTGCTACTCCGGCATCAGGCCCCGTGATAATGAATTTGAGACGCGTCTTCAACTGCCAAACCGCCACCGCTCAACTGCAACAAGACTTTATCATTCATGAACACTCCGTGTAGCCGCCGCTTTCATTGCTTCAATTGCATATCCCTTTTCAAGCTCTCTAGGGGACTGATTTGACCTCGTGACATCCTATCTGTTTTCTTTTGTGTGATCTTACGTCGTTGCCATCATCATCATCATCATCAGCAGCATCAGCATCATCATCATCATCATCATCATCATCATCCCAGAACTCAATGCTCTGTGGCTAGAAAGTGATGAACTGCACTTTAGTCACTTTGCACTTTGCAGTGGCTGCCGCGGCAAGTCGCACCCTAAAGCTGTGAACTCCAGATTCCGAGCTACACCTTCCTGGCATCGACCGAGAGGAAGATGGAAGGATTCTCATCGAAAATGGACTGCAATCTAGTTCGACTGCAATATCGGGAAAGCGAAATGATGAAACCGGTGAGGAACAAGAAACAAGGGACAACTGAATTCAGCACCTGTGTTCAATCGAGTACGATAGGCATGTTTGACACGGTTCTTCTCAACCTTTGTCCACCTTCTGTAAGGTTGAGATAGATTTTGGATGATTTTGGTCACAGCTTCTGATCTACGTAGGTTTATGAATGGTTTATGAATCTTGAGAGATGGGTTGCATCGTACTCTCTGCGTTCCAAATCAATCTCCACTCACAACAAAGCAAGAACTGGCCTGAGGATCTAGAAACTGCAGGATTGGCTGATCCTGTGTGTGAGCAGGACACTACCACCACATCCAATTGATTCCAATTGATTCTTGATTTTGCATTGCAAACCGAAACCGTTCTGATCGGAATAGTAATCAATTTTCATCAATCTTTATCTATCGTTCAAGGTTCCGGGCCATCTTTGGCGTCCTGCAAAGGCTGAAAGAAGCCTGGTCGTCCAAGGCCCAAAATTGCAGGGCTGGTCCTTACCCAGGGCACAAGCATCATGCAGATGCAGATGCATGGAAAAGCATGCAGATGCGGCATCATCGGCATCATTGGCATCATGTCAAGGCAAATGGGCAAACGCACATCACGCACTGCCAATGTCTTAGCCTAATCGGCTCCAATATGCTCCAATCACCACTCCATGACAGAACTTAAGACTATCCTCCTGAAATTATTTTTGCGAAATCAAAAGGGAACACAGAGAAGAGAAACACAGGACCAGCAAAGCCGCTGTTGTAGTCAAGAAAGTTTTCCCTTTGTACGATCAATCCAACATCTCTCAGAAAATAATCTACCAAACATGTAGCTTTCATTTCTATACAGGGAAGCTTTGATGGCCACATCTTGTTTGACTCGTTTCGACATGTCGACTGCTTCAACATGTTTCGACATGACTCGGATGGACCATGGAGAGAGTTCTGGGCAGGGCTCGTCCACAGCAGCTCCCAGTCTCCACGCAGTTGATCACCTAACGGTCGATTTCGATGGACCACTGGACCACTGGACCACTGGACCACATAATTCACATGGATAAGTTGGATGAGTCGTTCTCGGATTTCGGTGATTACAATGACATCCCAAAAAATGGTCTCACATGTGTGTACAATTGTGTACATGTGTACAGACTTATTATAGACTGATTATAGACTGTGATGTGTAGGAAGCTGTTTAAGCTCGAGCGCTTCAATTCAAGCGGTGACCAATGCTTTGAGCATCTTTGAGCGGCAGACTATGGCAGACTTCTATAAGACTAAGATAGATTAAGTGTACCATCGTTTGATTGCTGCAGATAGGTCACCGGAAATCCGGCGTCACTCCCTCAAATTCACAAAAACAAGAAATGTGGATTGCATCAATTTGCTGTTATGTTTGTTATGTTATGTTACTTGGAATCAAGAAGATTGGAGACGGGATGCTGGACACTGATCCGTTTTTAGACCGGCAACTTCTTCAGCTCAGGAGTACCGATGTAATACCAATGTAATACCAATGTATCCAGGCACTGGACAGCTTCCGCCTGGGAACCCGCTCTGGACAGTGGCTCAGAAGTTGGATTCAAGGTCTCAAGCTCCATGAAACTGGCCAGGCGAATCCGATGAATCCCACGAATCCGAAGAAACTGGCCACAAGATAAACAAGTGGACTGCGGTTTGGACTGCGGTTTGGACTGCACTTCAGACCTGTTCGGACCTGTTCTGACCTGTTCTTCAGACTTCTCTGAAGTTTCTTATCAGTTCAGACTTTGTTTCAGGCATTTAAGCAGGTGAACTTAAAATGGCATGAAGAAGTTGAAATGCACAGAATGCACAGCAGGAAGCCAACTGTAGTCTTGGCAGGATGGAACCTCGTCCTGATCCTATGGCATCTGAGACTCAAAATTGTACTTTCCAGTGTTTTCTATGTTGACAGTGGCATGTCGTGTTGGCCAGTGCTTTCTATGTTGTGTTGCTGGATTGGCACCTGATTGCACGGCATTGTATGCACAATCCACCTGTAGTAAGTGGTGTCAAGCTGTGGTGAAAGGAAGGATTGATAAATGTTTCAGCAACGGGTTGAGGTATCACTTGATGACTGGGTTCTCCTGTTGCAACCCGCTTCTCAACGCAGGGACGGTTGGTTTGTGGTTGAAGCGAGGTTGCTTGGCATTGCGATTTGCCATGAGGAACTTGCCGGGATGACAGTCTCTTCACTTCAGCGTTCTTCGATTCATCCGCTCCACGTTTTGTGGTTCTGATGATTTGAAGTAAGTCCTGCACTTTCGAATACCCACACACTGCAACCAGGCACACGCCAGCAACATGTTTTGGGAGAAAGGGAGATACTTGGGTGCTATCGGCTACTACATGTTACCACTATAGATCATTAAACATGTCGCTGTTTGCCGTGGCTCTGAGTCTGCAGCCTTCTTCAAGGCCTCGCGACGTTGACTGAGCACCTCGTGGTCACTTTGTCACACCACACATCCATTTTGGCGCACAACTTTTGACAATACCATACAATACCATACAATACCACAAAGATCCACAAAGTACATTTCGATGCATTCGGCACGGATGTGAATGTGTACCACGTCAGGTCGTGTCTTCAAATGCCTTGTTTTTCTCTGAGGATCACACTGCTGTTGCTATGAAGGCCGCAGCACCCAGTGCCTTTGCAAAATTTGCTGGTGATGGACCCCTGTGCAAATGAAAACATGAAATTTACACATAAGATGACTCCATTTTTGACAGACATAGATCATAGCGACAAGTGATTACTACAATCAGCAACGGGGCAAACAACGTCCCTGACCCAACGGAAAAAAGGGGAATGACTCACCTCAAAGTCCGTAACGCAGGACACTGTTTTGCTCGCTTGGCTCGAAATCCCTCCCTGCGGTTACAGGAGGCTTCAGTACATGAAAGGTCAGATGCAACAGCTGTACTTGCATCCATAATACCCTTGCTGTCAGGGGTTCATAGGATGCTTCTGTTTCGATCCATAGCCAATTGCACTTTTTGACCATTTCCGAGAGGGCGTCAAAGAAGAACTCTTCCGTCTCCTTCAGTTTCTGCTCGAAAATCTTCCTGTTGATCTTTCGGCCTGCAGTAAACGTTGGATCATCGACCAGGCGCCAGTATTGCTTCTGTGACATGAACTGGTGGAAGGTTTTCCTGTCTGTAAACTTGCTGAGTGAATCGGCCAGTTGCGCAATGCCGCACACCCATCTCATTCTGGTATTTGCCTCCTTCGCATTCAGCATCACCAAACTAAGTTCGTATCCTGCTCTGGAGTCACGTAGTCCATGCAATGCTGAAAGGTTCCTTGTCGCAGCATCGAAGATTCCTCTCGAATCCAAGACCAATGCACCTGGTACGGTTGCAACTTGTTGATGAAGATCTTGTCACAATTCGGTGTCCTGAAACTTCATAAGGTAGAGCTCGACTGTGAAAATTTTGATCTTCTCCAACTTCCAACTGTCAGAACTTGAACTTCTGCACCGTTGCTTCCAAGAACTGCACGCGGGCATTTTCCCCTCTTCCACTGAACGATTGCCACTTGGCATTCGCTGCTTGGTCAAGTTCCGAAGGGCTTGAGATGTTGCTACTTGAGAAAGTTCTTTGGCTTGGGCAAGGTCAAACTCCTTCGTCTTGGAAATGGGCAATGCTTACCATTTGATCTCCTTGCCTTTCTAATTCATCTTGCGTGACAACCAAACATTGGCCTTCTTGCGGGACTTATTCTTGGCTAACCAAACGAAGTCGTCCCAGGTCACCTCGATCTCTGCCGCAAAGAAGATCTTTTCCTTGACAAAGTTCACCACCTTCTCATTGGGGGCAGCTCGCTGAGGTTACATCAGGACGTAGTTCCTCTGATGAGGCTGAGCTCCTTGAGGAGGGTGATGCTTCACCTTCTGATTCTTCGTCTGGCTCTTCTGTCACGGGTCTTTTTCCTTCATAGTTGCAGTACATGAACTTGCCTGACCAGGTAGTTCACATCCAGGTGCCGGACATGTGTTGGCTCCGGAGTCACCGGTGATGGGAACAGGTAGTCCATCCAAGATGTCAGCTCCTCGTTCCAGCAGTGCTTCATTCAAAGCCGTCTTTGGAATGGCTTCTCCTTCCACTTCCACATCTTGAGGTTCAGCGGGAGGAAGATCTTGAGCTGGTAGAGATTTGAATCATCTTCTCCAGGTTCTTCATCCCTTCTCGAACTTCATCTCGAATGTCCTCAGGGTCCTTGTCAGACCTTCCCTCAGGGTCCTTGTCAGACCTTCCCTTCTGCCCAGTCTTTGGCACACTTCTCCGAACCTGTGTAGGTCTCGGGTCTTTCATTTCCATCTCTGTCTCTCCAACCCACCGGTCAAGAATGGAACGTTGAACTTCAATTCTGTCTTCAATTCTCACTTCTGCTCCACCATTCAGGGGCTTCCACCCGCTTGCCGGTCAGTTCGTCCATGGGCACGGGGCATGAAGTCAATCTCGTACAAACAAACAATGCCAATCGAGGCGGATAGTGCTGTCTCCCCAGAGTTTTAACTCCGTTCTCTTCTTTCACAGTCCAACTGTCGGACTTTGGTCCACTTGGAGCTGCTGGCACCACAACATCAGTCTGAGACAAGTCCTGGTTCATCTTCTCCAAGCTGGGGGTGTCACCGCTCACGTCGAGGAAATGGCATGCTTGAAAAAACTTCATCAATGTTTCTGTGTTGATGGGGGTTCTATAGATTGCTGTTATGATGCAGTGAGCTCCTTCTTGGTCACAGGGCGTACTTGTTCGACCAAAACCACACGCAAGGGCCAGTCCAGGATCCTTTGATCTTTCCAAGCTTCACTCTTTGTCTCCAGACCATCACCAGCTGTCCAGCTTGAAACTTGGTCGGAGGTCGACCGATCGCATTTGCCAGCTTGCTGAACTTGTCCTTGGCTTTCTTCTTGGCAAACTCCAACTTGGCGCGTTCTCTTTCTTTCAAAAGTCCACGAAAAGCTTTCTTTGCATCCAAGCTAATCGGCAGGTTCTCGCCGTTGAAGTAGTCCTTGCCATGCACCCATTGCTAGGCAGAAAAACCACTGCTGCAAACATGAGAATTTATTGCAAACGTGGCCAGGTCAAACAAAGTTGGAATCTCCAAGCCATCGTCCTCCTTCAGCAATCTCTCCACAGCGCGCTTGGCGATTCCAATGGCTTGCTCTTCAGCTCCCATCAGGTAATGGGCTTCAGCAGGTACACATGTCAAACCAATGCCACTTCGACCAAGGAAGTCTGCAAACTCAATTGATGTGAAGTAGGCTGCAGGGTCGGTCACTACCCACGTTGGTGCAGGGTATCTTCACATCCATCGGGCCATGGATTGAATGACGATGGTTGTTGTGGGTGCCCATCGTGCTCCAAGGTCTGTCACTTGCAGCATGTCGATCATGGTCAGGCCTGACGCACGGTCTCTCCAAAAAAGTCCACGGTGTTTCTTGGCACCTTTCTCATCCTCATATTCAAAAGCGTCCACACCGACAATCTCAAAGAGTTGAAGCTCTTCTCCAGTCGATGCAGGTGGTACCAACTTCGGCCTTGCTGCTTCTCTGCACTCTGGGCACTGCAATGTGCCAGCTAATCCCAAATCCATTTTGGTGAACCACGAGCTTCCAGTAGTCGTTGAAGATTGGAAAAACCACTATGCCCTGAAGCTCGATGAACTCGAAGTATCATCTGTTTGATTGCCTCTAGCTTCTTGCCCTTTGGAGCTTCTCAGGTTCAGTCTCGTCCTGGAAAGTGCCATGACATACTGTGAGGGGTCTGTCTCGTGGTACTCAAGCAAGGTCTCATTGTCCAAGCCAAAGAGGTGCTTCTCCATCAAGTAGGCGGTCTGATAGTCCATAGAGTTCCACTTCGGTTCCATCGCATGTCTGATCTCCATGCAAAGCTCCTTGGGGTAGTAGGCGAGTGCCTGATCTTCTTGTCCACGACATTCCCCATGGGTGTGGTTCTGCGGGCAACGCTTGGCCACCATCAACCACAAAGTCCTTGAACTAGTCAGAATTTGCCATCCCTTTTTGATGGCCAGGCCATTCCAAGTCATGCCGTAGGCGCAGCCGTCGATGTTGATCTTGTAGATGGTGCGATTGTACTTCTGAGCCAACCGTTCAAGTCTTCTGATGGAGCTTGACCGCCACCCCTTGACAGCCGACTTCGGCCACTCCCATGCGATGTCTCCAGAAGCACATAGACGCTCCAGGGATTGTGCAATCTCATCCGCATGTCTCAAGTCCTGGCCCTGCTTCTTCAAGAACTTTGCCCAGGCTTCTTCATCACGCTCCATCAAGTTCTGGGGGGATGATAATCTCGTGCATGGAAGGCTGACCCATCCAAACTTCAGGGTGTCGGTCTCCAGCTTCGTCTTGAGCTTTGGTGTCAAGGTCATAGCCAGACATCCTGCTGATACGCAAGCACCGATGACCGTTCTCGTCAAAGACGTTGGTCAATATAGATGTTGGTGAACATGCGATCTCAACCATGTCGATCTTGCCCTCGATGTTGTTCAAGACATCCTTCACGGGCGGCAAGAGCACTGCAGTCAGGGTAGCTGCTTTTGCTTGCTTTTGTGCCAGAGGGGGCAAGATCTCCTTGGAGGCACAGTTCTTGACGGACAAAATGTCCTCTTTCGTACTGTCGCGTGGTTGCATAGTGCACGTAGTGGTGCGGTTGCAGGTTAGATGTCAATTTGGAAGTTGTTGAATTCACAGTCCCATCTTCAAAGGTTTCAAGGCTATTTGGGTCCAAGGCCGGACCCGTCGCCCCACAGGGGCTCTTCAGCCTTTCTCGCAAACTCTTCAGTGAGGCCCAAAGGCCACTCAGTTGTCCACCACTTCCACGGCCATCATCCAAGGCTGCTCCATGTTCTGCTCGATCTCCTCCAACGTAGGATGTCGGAGCTGCCTTTGCCTTGGCCTCTGCAGTGGGTTCCACTGATCGAATTTATGGGCTCGGCGACACACTCCTTGTTGTCCTTGTCCGTGTCGTCGGCGCCGGTGTAGGAGATGCCGGTGTTGGTGCCGCGGTTGAAGCTGTCCCAGTTGTTGTTGGAGTGCCTGTCGGCCCTGCTGTGTAGCCAGCAGCTGTTTCCTGCCCCAACAGTTCCTTGCCACGACGGTCGTTGGCCTTGATGTCCAGCTTTGCACTGCATTGGCCCCTGGTGTGAAGGAGCTGGCGTCCCTTGATCTCCATTGATCTTGCCCAGCATGATCTTCTCGTTCATCTCGGAGGCGTCGTAGATCTGGGCCAATTCCTGCTGCGCTAGTTGGACATGTTCTGGAGGGGCTCCCAAGGTCCTCGTCTCTCCATGGCCACCGCGGCTCAACCTCAGTCCGCACTTCTTGCAAGTCACCCAAATGCTGAACTGATGCCTCTCCTTGTCCCAGGTGTCGAGGATCGGCATCGGAGGCTGCTACTCGGGATTGAGCCATTGATCCGGCTCTTCAAGTCGTCAGAGAGTCTTCGAGCCAAATCCTGCAGTCTCGTGTCACCACGTTGTTCTCCATGACCGAGTCCATGATGTGACACCATCAGAATCATTCCACTGCCACCTCTGCGTCCTGAATGTCCAGGGTCCTTTCCAGCATGTCCATGAGAGTCATGTTTGGGATTGGGCTGATGTGTGGATACAGGGGCTGCTGCACTTTTTCACTCCGGCTCTTCTGAATCATCATCATCACCATCCCAACAGCCGCAACGTTGGCACCAGGGTACTCTACAGCGTACCAAACCTACAGGAGAACTGCTGTTGGGGATCTCGGCCACGGTTGTTGAGACGACGATGGCCTGTTTCACCTGCTCAGGCTCTTCGTTGTCGTACTTGTCATAGTCACTTAACTTTCCAACCATGGCATCTTGCTGAAGGGGAACTCCAAGAGGAGGAGGTGCATGGTATTCAGGGTGAGCAGGTCCAGGTTCCACAGGTTGGTCTTCTTCCATCTGTGCGTCCTCTTCTTCTCCTTCTCCTTCACCTTCAACCAGTGCCTCCACTTCGCTCGTAGGCTCCAGAGGTTCGGCCATCGCTGCCGATCGCACAGCTTCATGAGCTTCGGGTTCACCTGCACCACGGTAAGAGCTCCGCGATCTTGATGACAATCTCCCTGCAATCACCACCATGTCCACCATCAGGAGGTGCATCGTCACCAGGTCCAGGAGGTCCTCCATCATCACCATCATCTCGACGATCTTGTCCAGCTCGTTGCAGACGTAGATCTCGCATCATAGCTTGAAGAGGTCGAGGCTGCTCGCTCACATCGTTGGCCACATGTCGACCACGTAGATGACGAAGATCATTTGCCAACTAAGTGCCACGAGGATCTCGATGAGCAAAGTAGGATCTCGATGAGCAAAGTAGGATCCACAGTAGGCCACAATTGCTTTGCGCTCCTTCATCTCTCGTCCACCAAGAAGAGGAGGTGTGTTCTCCACCTCGCCGTCCAGACGTAGAAACTCAACCTGCCCAGGGCATTCGTGGTCAGGTCCACTCGTGAGGTTGCCCTTTGTGACAAACCATTTCCAAACCGGAATGTTGGTCGGTCTGCAAGTGACACCTCGTAGGTCGGCACTTTCATAGATGCGGGTCATTGCATTGGCTCCACAAACTAATTCTGTGGCACCTGTGTCGACGATGACCATGTGGACACCTTGGGTTGACACCGTTCTGTCGTCGTGCAAGGACATCACATAGATGGACTCCTCCAAGTATTCTCGTTCGAAATATCCTCATACTGCGAGACGTTCACGAAGTAGTCGAAGTTGTAGGCCACCTTGTGCTTGGACTTCCCTTTCTTGCCTTTGCCCTTGGTGTACATCTTTCCTTTCGACTTGCCACCATTCATAGGGGAACCGCTCGGACTTGCTGAAAGGCTCGAAAACCGATCCGAGCAGTTGCTGTAGGTATGGAGAGGGCTTCCACAACAGAAACAAGGTCCTGGGCTAGAGCTGGATCCTTTGGACTTGCCCTTGTTCTTTCCTTTGGCTCCCTTTGGAGCTCCTTTCATTCCATTCACATCATAATATCCTCGGGCTGCTCTGACTTTTGCCACAGCCTGTCGTGCTCCTTTGAGGGTCTTTGCCACTTCCTGAGCCAGCATGTGGGCTTGTTCATATCTTTACTTTATTGTTCAGGAATGGCTCCAAGGTCACTGGTGCCCTCCTTGATGAAGTCGCTCGGTGTCGGCCTGCTATCATCTCCCAACCATCACCTTGCCATGGTTCAAAGTAGGCATCACCACCAGCATCCCAGTTACCATCATTTCGTAGCCACCAGCCCAGTAACTGCTCTCAGCAGCAGTCCACCATTCGTCCACATAGTCCTTCGCATAGAGCTCCTCATTGTCTCCGCATAGAGCTCCTCATTGTCATAGTTCCATTGATCCAACTCGGGATCAACCCACCAAATGTTCTTGCGCTTGATGCTCTCCTCATTGGCCTCGTCTGCAAAGAGCGTCCGAAGTGCACGGCGGGTCTCCTCAAAGCGAGTGCTGTTGCCAGTCGTCAGGATTGACTGTCTCTCCTGCGTTGACAACCTTGCTGCCTTGAGCAGTCTGTGGCCACGCAACTCGTCCCCGAAGAAGTCCTTCTCGATGGGCACGTCGGATTTCATCTGTTTGTTGGCATTCTCCTGGCTTTCATCCACATGTGACATCCCAACACCCAGTCCAGGTGATCTCGACGGTGACATTGGAGGGCTGCTTGCGCTCGGTCCCGTCATAGTTGACTTCATGGCCACTCTCTCCTGTCTCGCACGGCTCAACGACTGTTGAAATTCTGTGAACTTTTCCTCTTCCCTCACCAAAAAACTGGGTATGCTCTCGGCTGTAGTCCTTCTCAAGATGACCATTGTTCCAACCTGGCAAAGCCTCAAGCAGCTTCTGGAGTCCATGGGCGCTATCGAAGTCAGCAGGACTCAGATGTCGCACCACACTTTTGGCTGCCCCGGTCAAGCTCCTCCAGTTTCGAGAAGCAGCAAGGGTCCATTCGGAAGGCTTCAAGCTGCTCTCATTCCATGCAGTCCTGGACGAACTGCTCAAACGGAGAAGGATCACCGTTCCATGCACCATCCTCTGGCATATTGCCAGTCCAAGGTTGCCGTAGAGCTCCACAATCAAGTAGTCCCCGGAGGTAGAAGAAGGCCACAGGGATGTAGGACAAGGAAGTCCGTAGGCAGGACAGGATGTTGCCGTGGGTCAATTCCAGGATGTCCACCTTCTGCTGGAAGTAGCCAACAAGATGCCAACGAAGTCCCCGAGGAGAAGTTCAAGCGTCTGCCCCAAACAGGGCTCCGCTTACCATACAATCGGCAACGAGGCAAACAACGTCCCTGACCTAAGGGAAAAAAGGGGAATGACTCACCTCAGAGTCCGTGACACAGGTCACTGTTTTGCTCGCTTGGCTCGAAATCCCTCCCTGCGGTTAGAGGAGGTTTCAATACATGAAAGGTCACATGCAAAAGCTGTACTTGCAATTACAATTCGATGCTGAAACATTAGATATAGCAAGCCCCTATTTGCATTTGTTGCGATCCACTCACCGCCTGCATGTTTGTGGTTCAAAACACTTCCCAAGGAAAGAATATGATTATTCTCCAAACGTGCAGGCTGTAATTGAACCCCAAACTACATAAGAAACGCACAACAAAGACGCACCACGACATTCAAATTTACATCTTCGTTTCGCATTGCAATGATTGTTCCCAAATGGAGTCGAGTGAAGCTTGCACCAACTGTGGAAAACCTCTCGGAGTGTCGGAATGACAAGGAACAAAAAGGCCAACGAAAAGCGAAAAAGCGCAAAGAGGCCCCCTACTGCCCTAAGAGCCACATGATAGCCACATGGCAAGAATCTGAGGTCGTGCCAAGTCGCAATCCCCAGCTGGGACACCAGGGACACCACGGTGCCATCGGTGCCATCGATGCCATCCAAGGCATCCAAGGCATCCAAGGCATCCAAGGCATGCAGCACAGAGGGAGAGCCACGTGTGCCACGTGTGCCACGTGTGCCACGTGTGCCACGTGTGCCACGTGTGCCACGTGGCTGTAAGGTGGGCACTCCTGAGCGACAACAACTGACAACAACTGACAACAACTACACCAAGTTCAGCGCCAACTTGTCGGTTTTCTCGGTTTTCGCGGTTTTCTCGGTTTTCGCGGTTTTCTCGGTTTTCTCGGTTTTCCCGTGACTCTTTTCATCCTTTTTCAAGAGCGAAAGCAATACTTCCACCAGAACTACTTGGACACTTCTTGTTATGAGGTGGACTTGCAGTTGGTGATGAACTCAACCAGATGTGTCACAAGATCTATCCATATGTGTCAAATTGGTTGTTCAGTGGTTGACGGAGCAGTATTGCTTTTCAAGGTGTCAAACGGATACTTGGAACTTTGAAAAAGGTTTGCCAGAAATTTTGAAATGGTACATAGATGTATGTAGGTATCGGTATATGGGTATGTAGGTAGGTGCATAGTTAGGATAGGTAGGTATGTAGGTAGGCGTACGTACGTACCACACAAATCCTGCCCCATTCAATGTTCCTTGAGGTTGTCATGTCAAAAGAAAGTGGAGCTGTTCAGCCAAGCCATGTGAACACGAGAATTTTGGAAAATTCGCCAAGCCATGCAGCGCCATGCAGCGCCATGCAGCGCCATGCAGCTTTTCAGTACAAAAGGCGCAAAGCCGGTCCTGCCACAAAGGTCACGGGCATCAGCAGCGCGAAACCAACCTCAAGAGAACTTCGGACTGGCATCGTCCAACCAAAATCATTATATATATATATTTATATTTATATATATTTACTCTGTAATCTGTATATATATACACCATGATTATACATAGATACATAGATACGTAGATACATAGATAGGTAGGTAGATAGATAGATAGACAGACAAATAAACAGATAGACAAATAGACAGATAGACAGACAGATAGACAGACAGACAGATAGACAGACAGATAGATAGATCGACAGATAGCTTTATGGATAGATAGATACGTACAAACGTACAAACGTACGTACGGACGTACGGACGTACGTACGAACGAACTTCATTCGTACGAATGTACGAACGTACATTACATACATAACATAACAATACATAACACAACAGAACATAACATACCATTGCATTGCAGTACATTACATTACATAATACATACATTACATACATACATCATGTATACACATGTATATATATAATATGTATCATGTGTATAGTTGTGTATATATATACATATCAGGTAAATACATAATATGTCATGTACGGGATTATGTCGGCACAAGCGTCTCAAATTGTCAAGGAAAGAAATTGTGGGAAGGCGCTGAACTGCTTCCACTGTAGCTGTGCGTCTTTGCTTGGTCCACGGCAAAGAAAGCTTTGAGGACCTGCCTGCCGCAACACTGAAAATACCCACAGAATGGTCGGGTATGAGGCTGTTTCCTCACGTTTTCTCTTGAAGCCCGGAAAGCACAACAAAATGAAGCCCTTGGATGTCAATAAGATGTCAATAACGCTGAATTCTCTTGGCAAACTGAAACTTGCACCTGCACAGCGCAGTACTTTTCATAGCGCACACGTCAGTGGCTACAGGTCCCACATGAATGTTTGTCTTCGCAGGTCGCTGGGTTGCCTTGTGTACGGAGAGATATCACCGGCGTCTTTCATGTTCACCAAGCTACCCAAGTCACCACAAGAGCAACGATACCATTGTAAGAATTGTAAGCATTTTCATCGTAGCAGTTTGTAACATTGTAAAGACCAGGTGTGCACAATCCATCTCGAAGCAATCTTGAAAAAACATGGGCCATAGCATTGGTGTAAGAATTTGCGGCATTTGCCGATCATCAAAGACATTTCCTGGATACATTCGGTCACCAAGTACAGATCCAAACGCGAACAGTTTGATTGTCCTTGGGTCGTCCTATGGACTGGTTCATTGACTGCACAGCCAGCACAGTACTTTGTGCACTTTGAGCCAAGCTTCAGTGGATGCAGCAAACGCAATGGCATCCAAAAAAATCTTGGTGGCTACTAGCCAGTGTCACACAAACTCGTCTTGACACAGTCTGACAAGGGATTTTAGGTCCGAACATTCCCATTGTAGAATCTTAGATTTCTTGGGAAATGTTTCCTAATTATCGATATAGTCCGTGTCTTTCCAGGTTTGAACCCGTTGACTTGACTATTTTAAGCAAATACTTTATGACAATCCAAGCTCTTTGTCTTCTGACAGTTCTTTGTACCCCACTTTACTGTTGTTTCTTCAAGGCTGATTGTTGCCCTCATGGACTCTGCCTGTCTGGGGTCATGCTTTGTGAAGATTTGCATCAGATCTGAGAGACCTGAAGAGATACTATTCGTTGGGTCTTTATCCTGTCAAAGTTTCATCTGACAAGATATTTAAACGGTATTTGACAAATATTTTATGTACCAAAATCACGTGCTCAGCCCAGAACCACACCTGCTCTGCTGCCTCCTGTAAAGCACTCCTCTCGAAGCGGCCATCAGATGAGAAGCCTTGCCTGGAAAAAACTGATCCAAATACCACGCTGGAAATGAAGCCAATGAAGCCAATAAAGGCTTCTCGGCTTGCCATGGATTGCCTATTATCTTAGAAGTCTAGCCCTGTGGCGCGTGAAACAAATATAAAACAAATGACTCTAACTTATAGTGTTCATGTTTTGCAATGCTCTGAATGCCAGAGGCGCAAATCAACGCCTTTTAAGGATTCACTGACGGTCACTGACTGTTTGCACCCGACAAAAAAAATGGATCCAAGGAATTGGAGAGGCAAAAGGGAGATCAAAGGATGAAATTCTGACAGAGCTCCGATTAAACTCTGGAATTGGAAGATTTAAAAAAGACACAATTCAACACACAGTTCAATCTGCACAGTTCAACACACAGTTCAATCAGTTCAATCTGCACAGTTAGCTCAGCTTTTGACACGTTCGCATTGTATTTCAACAGAGTGTCACAAACCTGTCGGGACCAGCCGGATGGAGCATCAACCCTTCACCGTCTTCACCGCCTTGACCCATCCCATCTACCCCGATCCGTCCAGATACCAATATACAGCCACGCGCCCAGGGGAGAAAATGATAGAAAATGACTGGTGTTGCAATTCACGCAATTCTTCTTTTCTACAGCTCAGCTGCTCTTAGTTTCACTGATAACCTGGAGCCTATTCCTTTCCTCAATCATCTATCAGAATTCTGTACAAATTCCTTCGTCACTTTCATTTCTCTTGTGCTTTTCATCTGATCTGCTTCCTCAGCTTCATTAAACGTTTGAAGAGGCCGCGGAATGCTGTGGGACGGTCTTGGACTGTGCAATTTCTTCGTTCTAAGACTGAGTTCAATGCAAAAGATTTCACAATCAAATGATATCAACATATATCAATGATATCAAATGAAGATATGAAAAGATATGAAAAATCTGGAAAAAAAAGTGCGATTTGACCGGTGCGGTCTCCATGAAGGTTTGACCCACCTCTGCATGACCTTCGCCAGATGCCACAGAGAGAGGTGTCCAGCCCTGGCACGCTCAACAGCTTTGCCAAATCCAATCCAAATCCAAATCCCGTTTCGGAATGAAGGAAGAGGGGTGAACATTGTGAAACACAAGCAAGTGTAAAGGAAGAACCAAAACCATTTCGAGGGATAGGCAACATGACATGGGGAAACATGCGACCAATGCTTTGAAGATTGTACATTCAAGGAGGCGGAGTTGTTTGCAACTCTTATTAAAAAAGCAAAACCCGGCACCATTATACCAAAGATATACCCTCTAGGACATTCAAAGATGTGCCATTCAAGAACATACTGTAACATACCAAAAATATACCAAAGGGATCCAAAGGGATTGATATGCAGGATCAGCGATCAAAAATACGAAGGAGAGAGAGAGGGAGGGAGGGAGAGAGAGAGTGACTTGTACTGGTGATTTTTCACCGGATTGCAGCTGGCCTTGTCACCACCGTCGTCAGCATCCGCGCCATGCTTCAGCAAGGCCTGGATGTACGATGTCGAAATTCTTGAAAATAGAATGAAACAATTATTGTATAGATATATGATATGAAATGCCAAGAGATACATAGATTATCAATGATTATTATAGATTTGTTTGTAAGGTTGCAATATGTTGTGGTATGTTGTGAGGAGAGCAAACGGTATGAACCGTGACAAGAAACATTGAATCTTTTGAATCAGGACTGTGGACAGCAGTCGATCAAAACATATCAAAACCACGGTGTATAGAAAATTCATTGTGATTACGCGCATCGGATGCAGTCCTTGCACACGGGAGTGTGCCCTTCCCGGGATGCCACGAGGAGAGGGGTCGAGCCGTTCTTGCTCAAGGCATCAACGTTGGCCTCCCCAAGATGAGTCCATCCAAGTCATTTCAAAATCGCAACTAGAACTCACTGTTGAACCATGTTGAACCATGTTGAACCCTGAATTCAACCCAAAAAAACTCACAGTGAAACTTCAGTCCACCTTGTAGCTTAGAAGAAACTCGCAGACCTGCGCATTGCGTCGCACTTGAACAAAACAACTCCAACGTGGCTGTGACGTGACGTCTGGTGGCGTTTGGTGAAGTCTGAAGGGCCAGGATGTGGAAAAAGTATGAAAAAGTCATGGCGTTGGAACGGCTACGTTTTGATTTCAACGGAACAAGATGGAACAAGTACACCAGCACATCTGGCACAAATTCTTTACCCGCTATACAACAGCAGGTTGACTCTCTTGGCAAACCCTTGAAATGAAGACATATTTTTTCTCTGAATGGCAATGCATTGTCTGCACAAATGTTTTTTCTTTCACTGGTAGAAACTACATCCAAAAAAAGATGAAGACCAAACTGAAGACCATAAATGATCATTGTTTTAAAACAAGACTCTAGGACATTCTAGGACTCTTTTAAAAGACCATTGTTTTCTACGTCAGCGGGTTGTCCAGTCTGGTGGAACCCCTTGGAAGCCCTGCATCTTCATGTCCGAGGTAGCAAGCTTCGTGCAACGGAGTGTATCCATATGAACCCTGGCCGAAAACTTCGTGCCGTTGGGTCAACTCGCCAGCTGCGAAACATTGGAAGTAGTGGGAAATAAATGACAAAATAATGACAAAATACATATAAATGCAATACAGTAATACATTGCATTATTACAAATTATCAAGGAATCTCAAGGAATAAGCAATGCAGATGCATTGACACCTGGATTCGTTCTGGAATCAGCTGAAGTCGATATCTAAAGTCTAAAGATGTCTGAAGAATGTGCCGATTCAACGTGCCTTGGCGTTCAAGTTGCCGCCCTTCTCGGTGATCAGTTTCAAGATAGGAATGCGTCCGCTGTGGGTTGCCTCAGCTCCGAGAATCTCGAGCTCAGCTGAGTGCCACAGCACTCCACAGCACTCCACGGGACTCCACGAGACTGGAGATTCCATGCGGATGGCGCCAGCATGGCACAGCATGGCACAGCGGAGACAGCTGAGTGGCACGGCTGAGCTGCAGGCCTTCTGTAAAAGTGTGGCACCTTCGGCATCTCTCAGCTTCACACTCATCCCCTGCAGCGTGTTCAACGTGTTTTTCAACGTTCAACGGCTGTGCTGTCCTTTGAAGCACTTGAAAGATTCACCGCAGAAACATACTCAGATTTGAATTTATCTTGGCAAGAGCTGCAGAATATCTATGTTATCTTGATCATTTTGGACCATCTATGTGTAGAGAATCTAAGAATCTACATGAATCTACTAGTTTGGGAAAGGATAAGAGATGATAAGAGTTTCGGCAGCCGATCCTGGGACAGGAGGATCCATACGCACTCGACATCACCTCTCTCGCAAAGCTCATGCAAATCAACCTCCACAGGTCCATGAGTCACCATGAGTCACCAAGCAGATCCAATCAGATCCACTCAGAGTTGACCAATGTTAACCAAATCCTCCCACAGCATCTCTTTTCCCACATCTCCCACGGTCTACTGAAGTCTACTGTGTTTACTGTGTTTTGTAAATACATTTATGACAAGGAGGACATGCTGTGACTTCAGCGATTTAAGAGCAACTTCCGCGTGCTTTCTGGCTGCACTGAGTTCAACAGAATCTGGTGTTTGAAAGGTGGTCTACGATTCTACGATCTGCATTGGGCAACTACGCGGGTGACACAGGCTCTGAATTTCTTCTGAGAGCCATGCAAAAACCAGATTGAGATCTTCGATCAACGTCGTTTGAAGCGCCTGTTCAATCTCACTTTTCGGCCGAGAATCCCACACAGTTGGAATGAAACAAACAAAAACATCACAACTTTCCACAATGCAGATTCGAAATGGTTCCAAATGGTTCGAAATGGTTCGAAATTAGGGCCGATTACAAGGATGTTATCAGTGCGCTGAATACAATGAGTTACTTCAATCTGCAAAACTAAAGTCAAGAGTCAAGAACGATAAGATACGATAAGAACGGAAGATCAGAGCAGAGATGTTGCCAAGTTGCGTGAAGTTTGGGTTCATCAAGACGCCACATGTACAACTTGGATGTCCTCGGAAAAATGCGTTGAAAAAGCTGACCCATGTGAAATCACGCCATTGAAATGGAAACGAACAAAAAACATTACCTCCACGATGTCCTGCGCAATTTGGGCCACGCCGATGGAAGTGCATGACACATTTTGCTCAAAGCCTGTAGAGTTGCCACAGAATTTGATGAAGCCGTCTGAAATGGCAGGAAGAGGAGAGGGGCTGAATAAACAATTTGAACTGGAAAATCAACATAACACGCAAGCCACTTGACAGGGATGAAGATGATGAGGATGATGAGGATTATGAAAATGATATTGATGATAATAATAAGAAAATAATAACAAACAATAATTTAAAAAGATAATCATCATTACTTATACATATAGCAATAACAACAATCAACCCTTGAATAATTTCTATGATCACAAAGACGACACCCACTACGATTCCAAGAAGAAAAATGTTGGTGATTGTGGGGTCATGACTGCTTGGCGTTGATGAGGGCGTGAACCTGAAAATAAACATGATGCAAGCAAGTGACAGGCAGCAAGGATGGCGGAAACAGACGTGACACGCACTTCCCAAACAAAACAACTTGAATTTGGCACATTTTGATGTGAAATTGATGTGAAAGTAAGCTGAACTAGTTGTTTCATGAATCCTGCCGCCCCGGGCAATGACAACAATTGTTGCGAATTGTAAAATTTGTATGGCAGTGGCAACCCCCAAGAAAAGACTGTCCAGGTTTTCGTGCCTCATCTTGCTTCAATACGATGCTCAACTTCGTCATGGCATCTACACGCAACCTTTCAAGCTGTTTCAGAATCAAACAGTTCAATTGACATCGTTCAGGGCAACGTCGCGAACAAAGCACTACAGCGAATCCGGACCGTGAAAATAAATGGGTTGCAATAACCCCAATATGGAAATGACAACACGACGACCTTGCCTGGACGAGTGGCACACGATTTCTCCCAAAGGCTGCAACACAAACAATGCTTCGGTCAGCAACAATGCTTCGGACAAACGTATTGATTTCAGAAAAAATATTGCAATCCAAATTCCATCGACAAGGTAACACATCCCAATGTTTTGTTTGTACTCACTCCGTTTGTTTCGGCAATGCCAATATGTTTTTCATCACATGCGATTAACCTTGTTTTGAAACCCCACGGCAGGTTCCAGGGTTCCAAAGTTCCAACGTTGCAATTCCGTTTCGGTTTTGGGTTCGGCCAAAAAACTATGCACCACTGCCAAACCCACACATTGAAACCCAACAGCCACCACTGTTGGTTTTTTACCCAACAAATTTAGTGCGTCGGTCCCAAGTAAAAGTTCCACGCGCTTGGTCATGTTCCGCGAAGTGGTTCCGGGAAGTTCCAGCATTGGTTCCCGAAGTTCCAAGAACTTCCGGTACGGATTTTGGGCGGTTCCCAGATTTTGGGGTGGGGTTGGAGGTTCATGTCTAGCTTTCGATGTGGATTTTGGGATGGTTCCGAGATAGCTCTGGGATGGTTAAGGGCTGGTTCCAGAGGTTCCAACGTGATAGTTCCAGAGGTGCCGGTATGGTGGTTCCGAAGTTCCGGTGTGGTGGTTTCCAAGCTTAAAGCAGTTCAAACCCGTTCTAACATTAAGTTAAAGTTAAAGTGAAACAATCATGAAACTGCGCAAGTCTACCACTGAAAACTGACAGTTGTTCACTGGTTGTTGTCAAATTTTCGGACCATCTTGCGTTCTTGATGTTACCACCTGGGTTTTTTGAACGTTATCCTTTTCCTCAATCAGAACACGCCGCGGAAACCATCCGGAGTTGATTGCTATACATGAATGTCACATGAGTCACATCTGAAAAGTGACATGGATGGAAATTGCAGCAAGATTGAAGTGGCTCACAACTGCACTGCGAAACTACAGAAACGTGTATGTATACAGCCATGCAAGGTGAATGGACTATGCACGGCAGCGGTTATTTCCAATCACCTGGCCTCAATTGATGCTTATGGCATTCAATTACAACTACAAATCTTTGCCGTTGGAAGCATTCACGGAAACGCTACAAAGCACAAGGGCCAACGGCTCTCATGGGTTTCACTTTCATTCAAAACTCACAGTAGACCAAACTCATATGCAAAGCAGACCATGCCAAGCAAATAGGACCACGACTCAAAGACTGTACGGCAGGTTCTGGGCCTCGTCAATCTGTGCTTCGATTGCGTCCGTCTCCATCTGATCATTCATCACAGGGGCTCGTTCCAGCTCACTTTGAAGTCTTCGGATCCTGGCATTCAAGATGTCATTGGTGTCTCTCACGATTGCTCTCAAATTCTCGTCTGACAAACTTCGGTGGACCCTTGGACTCTCATCAGGTTCTGGTCTGTCATGATGAACAAACCTCCAATATTCATAGTCAAAAAATTCTGCCAAGTTGGATAGCTATCGTTGACAGTGGTTTTTTTCTTTCCTGTGACTCATCATCACTTTCGCTCTGAACTGCTGGGTCTGCAGTTGGAACCACGGATTCACCACCTTCATGTTCAGCAGCATGTAGACTGCCACTTGCGGCACGTAGAATCTGGAGTATTTTTGTAAGATAGCAGTCGACTTTCATCTTCTGCAAACGTTGTTGCAGCTCAGCGCCAAACTTTGCGGTGATCCACATGAATCCAACCACCATGCATAGAGCACAAAGGAAGGCAAGGATCAGCTTGTAGAAGCCAGACATGCCACCAGGAGAAAGGGACCCGTTTGCTCTCGAATCCATAGCCACGCCCAAGTTCAAGGAGTTCAAAAGCAAAATTTGCATGAGGCCCTTTGAGGTTGAAACATTCATGCCAATTTTTTTGAGCATTTTGACACCGGCCTTCATGGTGCCAATCAGGTTTGGCTCTGACATTCTGTAACCTTTGCACAAAAACATCAAATATTCCATGCGATCTCTGCTCCATCTTTTCGTCCCATGGTCAGAGATTTGTCTTTTGCGGTTACTTTCCCAACTGTCAAAAGACCTTCTTTGACTTTAGTTTGTATCCACAAAACACGCAAACTAATGTGCCTGACCCTCCCAACTCCACTGCGGTGGAAGAACGAACGTCCAGCAGCATTGCGCATAGCAAAGTGCACTCGCACTTCGGTACCTTCGCCAACAGCAAGCTGAATGCAATGGTCTCAAGATGCACGGGACAACTCAAATGCCGCGCACCCTTTTCCTGATTGCTTCGAGCCACTTGTCACGGAGTTACACTTCTGAATTTGTGCTGTGTCATCCAAACAGCAAGGCCATGCTAATCTTCTCTGTACTGTTCCAAGTGACAACTGGAGACCTGTGAACCTGCCTTGATTCCAGTAACTAAAATGTGACACCCCACCTTGGTAGGGATTTTGGAAGAAATTCCTGCCACATATCGTTGTGCAAACTCTTGTTCCATGCAATTTGGTCCATTACCAGACCCTGTGCTATGCAATTTCTCGAATTGGGTCTCCAGGCACATTGGGAAAAAAAAATCCGTCCTCACAAGTTTTGGCTCTTCCACTCACGCGATATCCATCAGAGCTTCAACTTCTTCAATTGCTCGACTAACGTTTGCTGCCTCTTCCCAATTTCCGTGAATGGCAGCGTTGTTGTATCGATCTCTGAGAGTTGCTCTGGCGTTGATCAATCGCTGTAAATTGTCATTGGCATAGTCGACCATTCGGGCATGTTGATCTGCATCCCAATGGCCGTGATGAAGACTAGCCCACTCTTCTGGGTCGCTCACTTCGCCTTGTTCGCTGTTCAAGTACCTGGTTCTTCTCTCATCTGATGATTCTCCAGGCATCTCTTCATCTACATCGTCTTGCTGAGGACCTACATCGTAGTCATAGTTTGGAGTTCTGTCGATGGCCTGCCCATTCAATGGAACTCCATTCAATGCCATGTGGATGATCTCATTGCCATCAGGGTCGTGGCCATCCCCATTACCTCCTTCAGGAGGGTCATCTCCATCCTCAATTTCTTCTTCTTCTCCTTCATCTTCAACTCTTGGATTTGCATGCTGGACCGGAGGAAGTGGTTCCCTTGGATAGTCAACTCTGACCCTTTCACCTCCAAGGTACTCATTGAGGTCATTCTAGATGGTCTCAATGTCAACCATCATATCACCTCTCCGTCCAGCTTCACGGAATCTCGCATGCAAATAGTCGATTTCATTGCCAAGCACCCATCTCGAAAACTGCAAAGAAGGATATACAAACATCCTGTGTCTCCAGCCCATGGTTCTGTCTGGCATCCTTGTCTCCATCCAATGCGTGAGTCTGCTGCGTCCTCAGGTCAGAAGTCCAAAGTAAATGAATACTGCACCTGCCGCCAGCACTGAAAACCCAAGCACAAAGATGGAAATCTTGAAGACTGCTGCAACTATCATTGCCAGTCCTTGCACTGCAGATGAAAAAATCACATCCACTGAATCCGCCAGAATAGCCCATGCGGCTTCCTTCTCGAAGTACTCCGCTGGAATGCCTGCACCTGAAACTGAACTGCAACCTTTCAACTGTGAGCAAATTCCCAGTGCGGCTGTAGCCATCTGAACCAAGCGCACACATTGTTGCCTGGTCACCCTGTTCACTCGGCGAATCTGTCTGACTTCGCTGTCATCATTTCTTTCACTGGCCATGAAAAGACCAATCAGTCTACCCAGGAATCTGCGCCGCTCACTGCTCAGCCTTTTGGTGTTCAAGTCACTGGTTTTTTGTGGCCGGCGCCCGTTGCCTTTCGGCGGGTCGCACTTGAGACTCCCGAGTGGACCAGCAGGGATTCGAACCACCACCGGCAGTCTGTCAGCGCTGGCAAGACCAACGCCATACCAACTGAGCCATCGGGTCGCCTTTGGTGTTCAAGTCACTGGGATTGCATTTCGTGTTGATCTTGTGGATCGTGAAAATTCCAGCCCTCAAAAGATTCTGCAGGTAAAACTGTCGCATCTGCACATGCTTCAACCTTCCAGTCCCTGCCCTCTGCACCAAAGCCATGGCAGAGGAAGAATCTGTGTACAAGCGCTGCTGGACATCTTCACTGTTTGTCTCGATGGAATCCTTGCAAAGAAATTTGCACAGTCTGTAGAGAAACATACACTCCACCATCAAACCATTTGCAGCGTAGAGCTCGGCTTCGCA